GCATTCAGTGGGCTGTACTGCTAGCGAGGGACTGCACCCACACAGCTGGTCCCAGACAGGTGTTCATTTGTGTTCTAACCTCATTTCCCCATGCCTTTCTTGGTCCCACACAGGAATATTTGGACAAATTCTGGCCTGATCTCAAGATGGTTCACAAACTCTTTGAGTCCCTCCATTCGAAAGCCTTTAAAGAATGGATACAAAGACATGAGTATCCGTGCTATGAGTTCTTCCCACATCTTCCAGAGGAAGTATTGAAAGCCAGAGTCAAATCTGGAAGATACATCCAGGTAAGGATGGCAATCAATGGTTGTGGGTTTGTTTTCATCTGCTGTCTGAGGCTGTAGACCAGATGGGTGCAGGCAAGGCAGCCTGAGGGCAGACTTCCCACGGTGACCTGGAGGCTTTACACTATAGGCACCAGCTGCCTGGTTGACATCCTCCCTGGATGCGGCTTGTGTTCCATGCTGAGGCTCCCTGTGGTGGAGGGTGGAGGCAGCCTTGTGAATACCTCCTTGTCCCATGTTTTCCTATCAAGCTCTGGAGATGTGGCAACCTTGGGAAATTGATGATATGGAAATTTGTCAATTCCATCACCATTTTCCTGTCACTCAAGGACCTCTCTGATTTCCCTGCCCCCCACCACTCCATAATTAGACTGCGGATGCTGTCGGGACACCCAGAAAGAATAGGATGAAATGGTTCAAGCTTAACTCTTTGACACACGTGTGTGTGTGTGTGTGTGTGTGTGTGTGTGTGTGTGTAGTTGGGTCCAGCAAGAATTGCCCAGAAGGGCCAGTGTATCCCAGTCAGTCTCTGGCATTCCTAGGAGCAAGTTTGGGGACCTGCATTTTTCTTCTGGCCTCCTAACCGTGTGGATTCTGAGATAATGAGCAGAGCCAGGAGTGGATGGAATTTTTTTCTGGAGAAAAGAGTCTTCAGTGATGAATGTTTAAGGGAGAATGTGAAACCTTGCAGGGGTAGTTCCCTCTAACATTTGTTAAGCATTTGGAGGTGAAATAAGCACAGATTGATTTCACATTGATGTATTATTGTCATTATTATTATTATTATTCTGGTTTTAGGGCTATCTACATGTAAACAAATGCAAGTCGCATGAAGCTTTTGTGCGCCACCAGGGACTTGACAACAAAGATTTAGGTAAGAGCCTCACATCCACATCCACACTAAAGGAAAGCTACACTACAGAGAAGTAAAGGAACGTGTGGGCCGGGGGGCTCACACCTGATAAGGGGTTGGGGCTGAACATGCAGCCAAGGGCAGTAGGGTGTGGTTCTGTCTAGCCTCAGTGGCCTCACTGCTTTTCTATTTTAAAAAGTAAAATGGGGGAGAGGAGGAGGCAACAAATAAATTATAAAAACGGAGGAGCATTCTTAGCTCTTGAATGAACCGAGTGGAAACGGGAAAAGCCTTGATAGGGAACAGCTTCACTAGCTGCAAAGAAAACAGTGGCTTCCTGGAGGCTTTCACCCAGTTGCTGCTGGGGTAACACAATGTCATCCCTGCACCTGCAGGCGATGCCCCTTGGGTCAAATGGGTGTAGAATCATGAAGGGATTTGACAGGGCTCCAGTCATTGCCTGGGGAAAGGGACACTGGCCTTCAAAAGCTGAAGGTGACATGTGTGCAGGCGGATTTGGGCAAATTTCCCAAGCTGTAGAAAGAAAGCAGCAGTGTGACATTACAGGCGCCTGGGGGAATGCTGCGCTCACTGGAGCACAGAGTAGCTTTGCCAGGCTTCTGTGGCATGGACTAACAGGGCTCCTTTGCTCTACCCAAAAACACAGATTTCGATTCGGATATCATCATTCTGTGGAGTACAGCCCGGAACCGCGCATTCCATGGAGACAAGGTAGCGGTAGAGCTATTTCCTAAGGAGAAGTGGATAATCAGGAGCAGTAGAAGATGGATAGTCAAAGAAAAAGAGCCCATGCCAACAGGTGAGCCAGTGACTGCCATTCCGGCACCCAAGCTTCTCAGAGGGTTGTTGCTGTTGTTCCACTTAACAATGCAGGACTAATCATTATTTAAATTGACAAAGAAAAAATTGCATGTAACATGAATGATGTTACTGAATGGCTACATGGAGGGAACTGACAGGTCACGCATTTTCAACCTCACGTGATGCACTGACATTCACCACAGGCATCATGCTGTGCAATGATCGTTATGGATCTCTTGACTTATGCCGATATGCTTGAGGTAAATGTGACATGACGGTTCCTGTTCCTGACTGCCAGAGCAGTCAGGGGCAGATGATTGGCATCCAACCAGTTAACCCTTTCTTCTGTTTTGTCTACCAAAAGGTTTTGTGGTGGGCATTCTTGAGAAGAAGCGGCGTGACTTCGTAGCTACGGTCACGTCGTCGTGTATAAAATACGCCTCTCGAGACAGCACCGACGAAACCAAACTTGTCGCTCTACCGACTTGGGACTACAGGATCCCAAAAGTTTTGGTAATGGCCAAAGAAGTAAAACGCTATAAGGTAAAGGATATAGCACCTCTCTGGAGTGGCCTACTTCTGTCTCCACCAGCTTTCCACACAGGGTCAGAAAGCATTCTTAACTCCCTTGAAAATTATCAGAGGCATATGGGTCAGAGTTCCGTTTTATTAGGAGCTATCTAGAAGGACACCGAGGTTACTCAATGAGGGCCAGAGAAAAGAGCCATCCTAGAACGAGCCATGTAGGACAGCCAGAGGGACCATATACTGTTCCGCCAATCCAACATAGAAACTTCCAAATACTTAAACTTTGCCAACATTAACTAGTTTCTCCCAGATGCACAATAGGGAATTATGAGCCATGTACCCCACAGGGTCAGTGGAGGGGCACCTCACTGAATCGATGATGCATAAAAGAATATAGCAAGAAAGATGGAAATACACATCCTGCCCAATGCAACCTGCCTGTAAATGAGACAATGACAGCTGGTGGTAGATCAGCTGCCTGGTGATCCAGGCCTTGTCTTTTGTTGTGGGTTCTCAGAGGCAAGCCACAGTGGAGGTGATTGGGCTGTGACCGCCATGATTACCTCACAGCAGGATCTCCACCCAAGAGCGCTCACCTCTGGAGAGCACCTCCTGCACCCTGACACACCCTGAGACCTTGGTTTCAAAACTTACCCTGGATCCTGCATCTTGGGGCTTCCCCTTGTGTTGCTAGTAGAAATCAGAACATAATTACAGTTGGCTTTCCTTCTCCAGCCCCCCTGGGTGTTGCATGGAAGAAGCACCTCCCACGTCAAAGTGCTGGGCCAGTCATTTGCAGGCTCCACCAACACAGTGCCCTTTCTGCACAACTGGACACTCTCGTTGGGATTCTACTTCTGTCTGCAGGTGCTTTGAACCCCTCAGTGCTATGTTCATACTTTGTCTCCTCTCGTGCAGTCTCACAGGGTGTTAGTACACATCGACAGCTGGCCCTCAAAGAGCATCTATGCAGAAGGACATGTGGTGCGTGACCTCGGACAAGCCAGAGACCTGCATGCAACCGTCAGAGTCATTATGGCAGAAAATGACATTTTCGAGCTACCTTCCTCAGAAGCTGAGGTCAGATTTCCCAGAGGCCTTGGGTCTAAGGATAGACAAGGAAAGAAAGATGTCAAACCCTCCGGGGAAGTCAGATAATGGGTAAAATGCATCCTGGTTTGGCCCGTTTTTCTTTTCTTTTTTTTTTTTTTTTTTTTTTTTTTGAGCCAGACCAAGTTGGCTTGTGGTATAGGATTCATTCCCTGCAGCTTCACAGCTCTTCAATCTTTACATCTTCCAGCTGCATCATGTCTTGACGGTCACAATATATCCAATTCTACAACTCGAAGGTAGACAGCCCTAGACCCAGCAAAGATTGCCTCCCTGCCAATCACTAAACCCAGAACTGCGGGAAGGCCAGGATCCACAAGTCAGAAAGTCACTTTTCCTAACCTTTCCAGAAAACAAAAAACCCTGTGAACATAGCACATTGGCTGTTTCCAAATGTTATGACCATTGAAAACCCTCATACCCAGCTGTATATACCCAAGGCATGTGCATACTATATTCTGTTCCATGACTTCTCACTTGAAATCATTACATATTGCCAAAAATGCTTCATTTTAATAGTTATGGTAAATTGCTGTAGGTTGTACCCCAGTTTTGTTTAAGCTTTGGGCATTGCTTTTTTTCCCAATGTTGTAGCAAAGCTAAATGTTTATCAACATTGCCTTTTCTGTTCTTTACTCCCTCACTTGGAAAGTAATTTTTAACATGAGGCTCAAAGGACACAGAAAATTGAAATCGCTTGTAACGTGTTGGCAGACGGCTTTTCCACAGAAACTGGACCAGTTTGCATCGCCATCAGGAAGAATATGGGGTTGTCTTCATGACCATTTTCTGACAGAACAAGAGCTATAATAGAAAAATACTTTAGAATAGTTCACATCATTAAATTTTCATGTTTAACAGTAGCTTTGGAAATTATTTTGTTGATTTGCTGTGGCAGCTTAGTGAAACCATTACAGTAAAATGTGGGTTTAGGCTTCAGGACTAGACTTCTCCCTTCATTTTTAGCCTAGTTGATGGCAAATGAAAGCCTGAGACAGGTAACTGGGAAGGCGAGGGGACACAGTGCCCTAATTCCATCCTGTCCAAATCATTCCCAGCAATGAGCTTCTAATATTTGAGACATGTTCCCAACTCCCCCACACACAGTATAATGGAATTAAAAGAAGCTTTACATTTAAACACGGATCACTGGGATAAAGTACATGTGTTCTGAAAAGTCTCCCACTTCTTCCTCCAGTCCCTTCCCTAACAATGCTGCGACATTTCCCATCAGGACACCAGGGTGTCAGGAATAGGGAGCCGTCCTTCCTGTTCCCTCCCAACAGAGCCTGGCCTGGTGTTGGACCACAGCTGCAACACCAGATCAGTGGATGATGTCACTGCGGTGGGTGGGGGCGGGGTGGGAGTGAACCTCCCTGCAGTAATGCTGGGAGTGTTCCAAAAAAAATTTTGACGGAAACCCATGGTGTAGGAGTTGCTGAAAGGCCGCATCTCTCCTGCAGATGAGTGAGTTACCAGTCAGCTCTCCAGAGCACCCCTGGCGGGTAAGCCCAACAGAGGAAAAAGAGAGGAGAGACCTACGAAGCCAACTGGTGTTCACCGTCGACTCGGAGGGCTGCGAGGACTTGGAGGATGCCCTCTCCTTGCGCATTCTGGACAATGGCCACCTAGAACTCGGCATCCATACTGCTGACGTCAGCTACTTCGTGGTACCAAACTCCTGCCTGGATAATGAAGCCAGGAGAAGGTAATGTGGCTTCAGCCACCACGGCGGGCGGTCACGTGTGTCTGTGACTTGGCGTCTAAGCCAGTTTCAGAGGTTTCTCTCAGTGCTAAGGTGAGGATTCCTTCCAGAAAAGGAATCCAGCTCTCTTCCATCACTTGTAGACAAACAGTGCCTGACCTTACTTGTGAGAATGCTTTCTCTCCTATGGACTTGAAGTAGGTTAAGCGTTCCCATGGCAATATATATACACAGTCCCATGGAACTGCTGGGCCGTTACACGCCAGCGTTTCTTCTGCTGCTGGAAATTCACAGCCATTTGCCTTTCACGTGATCCTGGAAGAGTGTGTGTCACTTAGCAAAGTGGGAACCTGGGAATACTTGTGTCATCCCAGGCTGCTGCAGTTTATACAAATGCAACAGCCTCAGGGAACTGGGAGGGTCCAGGTGGCCATTTCCCCCTCCCGGGAGCTGCAAACTCAGCAGGTCGTCCCTCTGCTGAAGGTCATGTGTGCATTGTTTTCAGGGCCAACACTTTATTTCTGCCCCATAAGCGTTACGACATGATCCCCGCTGCCCTCAGTACGGACTTATGCTCCCTCCGAGAAGGCGCCGACAGGTAAGCTCTCCCTGCTCGGACCACTGTCTTCCTCAGCCCCTGTTGCCCCTTCTTGCCCCTCACTGAACCTCCAGTCTGGAGAGAAGTCATGATGTGCCCGTGGTCACTGGTTTTGCAGATATGCTGTAAGCGTCATATGGGAGTTGGAGGGGACCTCTTATGACATCAAGAACGTGTGGTATGGAAGAACCATCATCCGTTCGGCCTATACCCTGACCTACGGAGTGGCCCAGGATCTCCTGGACGAGAACTTGAGTGCCGCCGAGGCCATCTTCGTCGACAAAGACCTAGACGAGAGAAGCAAAGAAACCAAGCTGAAGGAGTTAACATGGGCTCTCCAAAAGCTGAGGGTCCTAGCTAACCACTTCAGGGACCAGCGATCCAGCCAAGGGGCCCTGAATTTGAAATACTTGGACGTTGCCTTGAAACTAGACGAAAACAACAAAGTCGTCAACATCAGCCCCGCGCTAAGGCTGGATGCCCATGACATGGTGTACGAGTTGATGCTCCTGGCCAATCACTGGGTGGCCAAGAGGATCTGCAAGGAGTTTCCTCATCAGTCTCTGCTGCGCCGTCATCCTCCTCCTCCACAGATTTTATTTCAAGATCTCTTGTCGTGCACCAAAGCACTGGGCTGTGACATAGATACGCGGTAAGTGTGCCACCACAGAAACGTGCAGGCGCCAGCCACTGAGCCACATGCCCGGCAGTTAGAGCTGGGAAGAGCGCAAAGGAAAGCAGGTTTACTTAAGACAAAATGTTTGCCTCATGACAATTGTGTTAAGACAGAGCTCTTTGGCTGTTCACTCAGCAAAACTGCATTCTTTGTTGCTTTTTTTTTTTTTTAAATGCTTTCAGTATCCTTCACAGTTCCCAGGATCTAAAAAAGCAAAGGTTGGAGAGTACACAGGTGAAAGATTTATTTGAAAGGCAGAATAGATTGATCTTCTGTCCTTGCTTTCCTCTCCAAATGGGCCCAAAGACCTGGGATTGGCCCAGGTGGAAGCCAAGAGCTTCAATCTGAGTTTCCCACATGATCGCAGAGACCACACTGAACCACCTTATGCAGTGATCCAAGATGTGTTCCCAGGGAGCTGCCCAAGGATTAACCAGCACATTCCGACAACTAGGCTTCTGGAATGAGTAGGAGACAAATGTATGTAGCTGCTGACACACAAAGGGTTCTCTCTGCAAGGGGACTGAACAAAGACTGTTCTCTGCCAGGTCCAACAAGACACTGAAGGACTCTCTTGAAAAGGTAAGGGGCCCCAACCGCCCCTACTTCAAGACACTGCTGCATCACCTCGCTGGGCAAGCCATGGGCAGTGCACTGTATTTCTCCACCGGATCCTGTTCAGAGCAGGAGTTCTATCATTACGGTAAGGGCTGAAAAAGCGTCCCGCGTGTGCAGCCATAACCTTGAGCAAGTGGGCCCTTTTGCTTACTCTGATCTTATGGCTTCCCTTTAAAGGTCTCGCTTTAGATAAATACACCCATTTTACATCTCCGATAAGAAGATACGCAGATATTGTAGTACACCGGTTATTGATGGCAGCTCTTGCCAAGGAAAAGAAAACAGAAACGGAGGACAATCTGTTAAGCAACGAAGATCTCCAACAACTATGTGAATACCTGAATGAGAAAAGACAAGTAAGTAGGGGTTTTACAACTCTTAGCCCTCGCCTCTTGAGCACATGAGCTGCGTTGTATACTTGTGATATTCTGGAAGGATTCTGAACAAACTCCAAACATCCCCAAACGTGAGAGAGAACACGCATGGAATTTGAGATCTCACCTTCAATGCTTTCCTCATGGCAGAAAGATTCAACTCTCAGAGCCAGGGAGACTTCCAGCTGACAATCATACTAAGTAGTTAGGATTCTGGCAGGACAGCTTTGCAGTGGACACGTCCCTAACTTGAACTACAAACGGGGTTCCTTTATGAAAGAATGTAACTTTCCATGACCCCTCGAGGGACCAATCCTGGAGAGTAAAGCGGAACGCCAACTGAGTGCAGGTTTTGCAACTTCCCAGGTTCTGTGTTGAGTAAATGTGCGGCTGCTGTGAGGATGTGGGGCTCAAGTCTCTTCTGAGACTGTCAGGAATCCTTTCTTTTATAATGACACGGGCGTCTGTTGCTTCTTACAGTCAGCCAAACGATGCAAAAAGCAGACCACTGAACACATCATATGCTCTAGGGAGTGTCTGTCCGGCAAAATGAAGGCAATCGTCTACGCAATCCGCCCGGGCAGCGTGCTGGTGTTTCTCCCAAAGTAAGTCTCGTCTAGTGCCGTGGGCAGCGAGAGATCCTACCAGAGAGGAGGACATAGGAGATGGAAGTACATGTCCACGGCACAGTGAATGCAGAGCTGACTGTCCTTCTTAAACTGCTATGCACGGCAGAGCGGTGATGTCCGCTCCCCAAAGGGCCACGGCGACTGGAGCAGAGGCTAGGCGCTTGGAACTCTGCAGTCCCCACATCGGTGGCGAGTAGTTGATACCATCAGTTGCTTTCCCAGACACTGGCAGGGAGTCTGAGCGAGGAAGAGAGCAGCTGGCCTGGAACCAGCACATCCTATCGGATGAGGGTACCGCAGGTGCCCCAAGGATTTTACTCACCTAGCAAAATACTTGTTTCCCTTTGCAACAACAAATGTTTGCAAGTAATTTACAGCTTTCAATCTCTAACTATCACTATTTCTGGCCACGATCCAGGATGGGAATTACAGCTCCTGTGTATCTACCAGCAAGAGACATGGCAGAATGTGACCCTGAAGATGTTCTCATTTGGAACAATGACAAGAACCGTTTCCCACGCAAAATCACCTATGTCACCGTGTATGACAAGCTGGCCAACTTGTATCTGTTTGATGAAGTCCAGGTGAGTCCGTCTGTATGCTGTGTCCTTTGTAAGGAAAAGGACGGTGTGGTTTACTTAATCACTACAGTGTCCCTTCTCCCCTGCCACAGGTAGCGACGTATGTGAAGGAAAATGACTGGCACGGCCCTACTCGGGTACTATACCTAGAGGGCGTCACAAGACACACACTGCTACGGAAAAAACTCAAGAGACCCACCAGTGTTAAACCCATCGGCTTTTATTGGCTAAGAAATTCCAAATGGCTCTCATAGGGCTTCGTGCAGTCAGTACAAAAACTGTATTCAGGTGGTTAGCCTCCTTTCACGAACCCGTCGGTTCTCCAAAAAACTGAATCAATAAAATCTAATAAAACGCCACGGGGCATTATTTCTGTCGGCAGCCTTCTTCCGCTTCATGGGCATCGCCCCCGATGAGCCATTCCTAGGCTCTAACTGCCTGTCAAGGTGATGGTCCCCTCCACCTCTAAGATCCGCCTGGATCCCCGGCGGGTATGTTCCCCACGTGTCCACAAATCTTTCCCGAGGCTGTGAAGCACTGAAGAGGATCCTTCAGCACTTGTGCTCTTTTATTAAAAAAAAGGTTAATTTGTTTGTATTGGAAAATACAGAGAGGGAAATCTTCCATCCGCTGATTCACTCCAAAAGTGGTCACAATGGCTGAAGCTGAACCCATCTGAAGCCAGGAGCCAGGAACTTCCTCTGGGTCTCCCACACGCAGGTGCAGGGTCCCAAGGCTTTGGGCTGTCCTCGACTGCTTTCCCAGGCCACAGGCAGGGAGCTGGATGGGAAGTGGAGCTGCCGGGATTAGAACCGGTGCCCATATGGGATCCCGGCATTCAAGGCGAGGACTTTAGCCACTAGGCTACAGCACTGGACCCAGCACCTGTGATCTCCAAGAAGTTATTCAGAATGCAGCTAACTCTTAAACACGGATTTGGAGAACACACAGGTCCATTCACGGGTAGCTCAGAAACACTGAGAAAAGGTCCATCACCCATGCAACATTGGAGCTGAGTCTATTTTTCCATTTTTCCTCAACAATAACAGCACATGTACAACTCACAATCAAGGGAAATGTAAACAAAGCAGTGTCCGACACTATCAGCCTTAGCACTGTGATGGTTCTGTAGCCACCTCCTGATACTCTGGAAACGTGTTCAGGATCTGCTTATCAAGTCACCTGATGCTGACTAGTCCTGGGCACCGCAGGCTTTGCAATGAGCTGTCAGTCTCGAGCTGTCAGTCTCGTGTGTGTGTCAATTGTTAAGGCTTTGGTAAGTCAAGTTCTTCAGTGAAGTCCCAACTGTCAACATTTACCGCAAGTATAACATGTACAACGAAATGGCAACAAGAATTGTAGTTATGTATCAACATCCACTGAACAAGGAATCCAAGGCACACAGCAACAGCAGAGGCTGCTTATTAACCACTGATCATTTGAGGAGGTCCTAACAGTAGAGAGAATAAATACGCTTAATAACTAAAGCTGAGTTTTAGTACATGAAAACTCAAGACTCCCTAAGGATTTTCACACCAAGTACACAATATACAGTACTCCCACACACGTGGACAAGTGACTGAACAGACGCCTTTACCCAGATGAAGTCCACAGCTCTGCGGCCCAGTCTAAGAGGGCTGGCCCAGCCACAGCACGTCCTCTTGTTCCTCTGTGCTTCCTTCCTCTTCGGCCACAGCGTGGGCAGGCGGCCCATCTGAGACGCCTCTGCTCGCTCCAGAGGCCTCCTCCTCCTGATCCTCAGCAGTATCAACGTCTTCAATGATCGGGATCCCGGATGTGTTCATCACAGTGTCTCAAAGGGAAATAAAACCATTACCACTTTTTGATTTTAGCCCAACCGCAAAGACAAATTTCAAACTATGAATCCAACCTCGTCCTTGGCACATGGGAAGTGAGCCAGTGGATGAGTCTGACTCTGTTGGGGCGGGCATGGTGGTACAGCAACTTAGGCTGCCACTTGGGATGCTTGCATCTCACACTGTGGAACCTCAGCTCAAGCCCAGCCTCCACTTAGATCAGACTTCCTGTTGCACACGTGGGAGGCAGTAGATAATGCCTCAAATACACGGGTTCCTGTTACCCATGTAGGAGCCACGGATGAAATTCCTGGCTCCTGGCTTCAGCCTGACCAGTTCTGGCTGTTGCAGGTATTTGGAGGTAGAAATCAAAGGATGGAGGACCTCTCAGTCACTTAACCATCCAAGTAAATAAGTGAACAAATTCATAAACAGGAAGTGAGCCTTATTTTCATGGGGTTAGCACAACAGGCGAATCCTACTCCTTCAAATACCGGGAGCATAAAGGGAGGGAGATAGCCAAAATCCTTGCTAACGACAAGGGTGCAGATTGTCCTGGTTCCCAACTTCATATTGGCTAGCCAACTGAAAGAGGACCTGTGAATTAAAGATGTCTCCTTTCTGTAAATAAAAACACTAGGACTGTGGCAAGGTAGCATAGTAGCTAAAGTCCTTGCCTTGTACACACTGCTGAGATCCCATACGGGCACCAGTTTGTGTCCCGGGAGCCCCACTTCCCATCCAGCTCCCTGCTTGTCGTCTGGGAAAGCAGTCGAGGACAGCCCAAAGCCTTGGGACCCTGCACCTGCATGGAAGACGGGGAAGAGGCTCCTGGCTTTTGGCTTTGGATCAGCTCGCTCCAGCTGTTATGGCTGCTTGGGGAGTGATTCAGTGGTCAGATCTTCCTTTCTGTATATCATTCCAATACAAATTAATCTTTGAAAAAATTTTTTTCAGGTATATGTTGACACTGGTGGCAAAAACAGGCACTGCAGCTCTAATTTTTCACATGGTATTAATAAAACATCTACTGTAAATATAAAACAAACTCATTCTAATTGGAAAAAAAAGTGATATCATTTTAAGTTTTCACTTGATCATTTATATTGAGTGAAATGTTCTACTTACTATATACCCTATTTCCCCATTTTTAGAAGAAATACCGGATTGGAAATTGAGAAGAACATGAAATCCTACTTGTTTCATTCCAATCCCAACCAACTTGCAGGAACCTGTACTGTGGTCCAGTGTCTTAAATCACCATCTGTACCAATAATGCCAGCATTCCATATTGCAGCACCAGATGCCATCCAGACTGTTCCATTTACTATATTAATTCCTGCTAATCAATGTTCCTGGAAAGGCAGCAGAAAACTGTCCAAGTCCCTTGGTCCTTGTCATCCAGATGGACTTACAGTCTCTTGGCTTTAGCCTGGCCCAGCCTCAACTATTGTAATCATCTGAGAAGTGAACTGGTGGATGGAAAACCTCTTGGTATCTCTTTTTTCTCAGTATACTTTCAAATGAATAAATGTCAGAGGAAAAAATTAAATTAGAAAAAAAAAGTGCCAGTATTATGGGACAGCAAGGAAAGCATAGCCTACGACATGGGCACAAGTTCAAGCACTTGCTCCAGCTTATAAGCCAGCTCCTTGTGCGTGTGCCTGAGAAAGCAGGGGAGCTTAGGTCCCTGCATCCATGTGGGTGACCCAGATGCAGCTCCTGGAGTTGGTGCAATGAAATAGTGGCTGGAGCATCTGCCTCTCCTTCTCCATCTGTGCAAATCAAATAACTATTTTAATGGAAAGGCAGACCACATTTACAGAGAGAAGGAGAGACAGAGATCTTCCATCCACTGGTTCACACCCCAAACGGCGGTAATGGCCAGAGTTGAGCTGATCCAAAGCCAGGAGGTAGGTGTCACAAGCAGGTGCAGGGTCCCAAGGCTTTGGACTATCCTCTATTGCTTTCTTCAGCCACAAGCAGGAAGCTGGATGGGAAGTGGAGCAGCAGGGACAAGAACCAATGCCCAAATGGGATCTCAGCACATGCAAGATGAGGATTTAGCCATTAGACTAGCACACCAGGCCACGCAACCTGCAGCTGATACACTAGGACAAACACATCCACTCTATTTTTTTTAAGTACTCAGCTAGGCCCGGCGCGATAGCGTAATGGTTAAAGTCCTCGCCTTGAACGTGCCGGGATCCCATATGGGTGCCGGTTCTAATCCCGGCAGCACCACTTCCCATCCAGCTCCCTGCTTGTGGCCTGGGTAAGCAGTCAAGGATGGCCCAAAGCCTTGGGACCCTGCACCTGCGTGGGAGACCTGGAAGAGGTTCCTGGCTCCTGGCTTCAGATCGACACAGCGCTGGCCATTGCAGCCACTTGTGGAGTGAATCATCAGATGGAAAATCTTCCTCTGTGTCTCTCCTCCTCTCTGTACATCTGCCTTTCCAATAAAATAAATAAATCTTAACAAAAATTAAGAAAAAAAGTACTCAGCTATCCAGAAAGCCACCTATGACTCAATCATTCTTTGGGGAGCCTAAAAAGTGAACACACACTCTAAGTCCTTCATCCTTCAACATACATTAACTTAAATTCAAACTTAATAAATACAAACATTAAATTTATATTGGACTTTGATATTAATGGCAGCACATTAAAGGAAAAAAAAAAAAAACAAACATAAAATTTACCATTTCCTGAGGATTGACTATTACTCAGCAGCTTTGCCTGCCTTCTTTCCAAGGCCAGTTGTTTATTTCTCTCAATTCTCTGTTGTTGTTCTTCTGTTAGCGTTCTACTTGAGTCAGAAGCAAGCTTCTCCCTTTCAGACGAGTTTGTGAAAAAGGGATCAAATTCAGTAGCAGTTACATCATGGCCATTATTTTCCCCTACTTCTTCTGCATCAGAAAAGGAAAAAAAAAAATTAGTGGATTTGTAGTATTAACTAGTTACACAAAGGACTCAATTGAAAGCTAATTTAAATGCGCAAGGTGTCAGACCTGAAGAAACACCTGTGAGGCATGAGAATGTAAAAAGATATGCTTACCTTAGACAAGATACATTTATAAATTACTTATAACAAGGAATGCTGCAGAGATGGAAGTATTACTTAAAATATACATGAAAAGAAGAGTTTTTAGGGATGATTAGTAATATTTTATGGTTGACCCAGTAAGAGAACTTAAACAATCCAAATCTTGGAGCCAGCTTGATGGCTCAACCGGCAAATTCTTCATCTGCAAATGCTAGCATCCCTTAAAAGAGGCCAGTTCGTGTCTTGGCAGCTCTTCTTCCCAATCCAGTCGCCAGCTCATGCCTGGCAAAGTAGCAGAGGATGGCCCAAAGTTTTTTGACCCTGCAACCACGTGGGAGACCCAGAAGAAGCTCCTGAATTCAGATCAACTCAGCTATGACTGCATATGTGGAGTGAACTGGCAGATGGAAAATATTTCTCTGTCTCTCCTTCTCTATGTAAATCTGCCCCTCCAATAAAATAGGTTGTTTTTTTAAAAAAAAAAAAAATCCAAATCTTGGGCCCGGCGGCATGGCCTAGTGACTAAAGTCCTCATCTTGAACGCGCCGGGATCCCATATGGGCACCAGTTCTAATTCCGGTAGCTCCACTTCCCATCCAGCTCCCTGCTTGTGGCCTGGCAAAGCAGTCAAGGACAGCCCAAAGCCTTGGGACCTTGCAGCCACATGGGAGACCTGGAAGAAGTTCCTGGCTCCTGGCTTCGGATTGGCTAAGCTATGGCCATTGCAGCTGCTTGGGGAGTAAATCATCAGACAGAAGATCTTCCTCTCTGTATATCTGACTTTCCAATAAAAAAAAAAATCTTAAAAAAAAATCATCAAGCTCCAACCACACCAACAAATATTAGCCCAACAGATTTAGAAATATTTATTCAATGTAATATTTAATCCAACTGTCCTTACTTTGAAACTGTAATATGATATATTTTTGGTGAGAATAAAAACAAGTGTTATACAGAAGCATATGTACTTCATTGGCACATTAAATAAACATTCAAAACATTTTACTCTTGTGATCTACAAAAAAGGTTTGAAGATTATTCTGTTAAGACACACACACAAACAAAACAGACTCTACAACAAATCGGGATCTGATTTGTGCCTCCTCACGCGCAGCCCGCATCTAGGTCCCCTTCTGCTCCCTCGGCCATCCCTGCGAAGGCATGCCTCTGCACCAAGTCACCTGGGCCTAACATTCAGTGCTTCTCACTCAGATTCTGTGGGATCCCTCCTCTGCGGAGCGCTCCTCTCCCCTACAGAATCACCCACCACTCAACTGGAAATGACCTGTCTGTCTTAACTTCTTGCTAGTCTGACCTGTCTAAGGCGACTCATCTTTCACTCCTGAATGCTTAGTACACAGTCAGTGGCTCCAAAAGTGCTGCTGAATGAATAAACTAACCCAGTGGCACATGTTGTGGGATCTAATACTTTAGTAGCTCATTTCTTTATACAAATTAATCCTGGGACATATGTATGCAGAATAGCCATAATTAAAATCCTCGATTGCTTAAACCACATTCCTTCACAATTTTTTAAAAGCAACTTATAAGTTTGGGTGACAGCAGCACTGTGGTATAGTGGCCATAGCTGCCATCTGCAACGCCAACACCCCACAGGAGTGCAGGCTCAGGTCTCAGCTGCTATACCAGCTCCAGCTTCGTGCTCAGGGCCTGGACAATCAGTGAGGGGTGGGCCAAATGCTGGGACCCATGTGGGAGTCCCCATGTGGGAGACTCAGAGGAAGTTCCTGGCTGTGGAAAATCTGTCTCTCCCCCTCTGTCTGGAACTCTAAAATAAAGGTTTTAGCCAATCGGCGCCCTGCACGCCCCCTCCAGTAGACACGCTCCAGGAGGTGAAGCAGAGTCGGCGTCCGGTGGAGCTCAGAGCCTGGCGCGCCGCCATGATCATCCCCGTGCGCTGCTTCACTGCGGCAAGATCGTGGGCAACAAGTGGGAGGCCTAGCTGGGGCTGTTGCAGGCCGAGTACACCGAGGGGGACGCCCTGGATGCCCTGGGCCTGAAGCGCTACTGCTGCCGCCGCATGCTGCTGTCCCATGTGGATCTGATTGAGCAACTGCTCAACTATGCGCCCTTGGAGAAGTGACCACCTGCCTGGCCCCCTGCTGTGCAGCCCGGCCATGTCCATTCACGTCCTGCCTGGAGCTCTCCCCGTGGGAGGGTGGAGGGACACTGGTCCCCATAGCCAGTGAGTTCCCTGAGTCATATGCTACCCAATAAAGTATTTGTAGAAATGAAAAAAAATAAAATAAAATAAAAATAAAGGTTTTAAAGTAAGTAAATAAATAAATAACCTTGTAGAACTCCCATGTGGAACATGCATTTTCCACATCTACGAAGAAACAAGAGACAAAACATTCATGTATGGAGCCATCGCACAGAAAATCTGATAACTATACAGACTCTGTCGGCAGGAACCATGTGCTTTGATGTGTGTGACTGTCTATGGTTACACCGCACAACTAACAAATGCAACCCATACCAGGAACAGTCACAGAGGCCCTGCTCAAGCCAGGATCTGCACAGGTAAAAAAGCAAACTTTCGTCCACAGCTTTCTGCCCAATTCCCCAGAACTATCTTCTCCAATGCTGTATACATACATCATCTCATGATGTGTATTTTTATAAACAAGTACTATGAAGGACTGAGGGATCCCTAGAGTTCTCAAAAGTCCTTTTCTGTGGCTCAGGCATTACCTGTGGTATCAGCATCCCATATTAGAGCACTGATTTGCATTCCAAGCCAGCTCCCTGCTAAGGCACCCAAAGACGGTATCATCTATATAGGAGACTCTTAGGGAAATCGTGGTTCCTGGCTTTGACATGGACCAGCCCCAACCAGAGTAGCCACTTAGGGAGTCTACCAGTGGATAAAGAATCTCTCTTCCCAGAGCTGTAGCCTAGTAGCTAAAGTCCTCACCTTGCATCCCCTGGAATCCCATATGGGCACCAGTTCTGTTCCCAGTTGCCCCATTTCCCATTCAGCTCACTGCTTGTGGCCTGAGAAGACAGTAGAGGACTGCCCTCACCTGCCTTCTGACTCCTGGCTTCAGATCAGCTCAGCTCTAGCCGTTGCGCTTACTTGGGGAGTGAACCAGCAGATGGAAGACCCTTCTCTCCGTCTCTCCTCTATGTAAACCTGCCTTTCTAAGAAAAACTAATAAATCTTTAAAAATAAAAATGTCCTCACCTTGCACGCGCTGGGATTCCATATGGGCGCCGGTTCTTATCCCAGCAGCTCACTATGGCTGCAGGATCCCAAGAACTCGAGCCACCCTCTGCTGCTTTTCCAGGCCATAAGCAGAAAGATGATCAGAAGTGAAATAGCCAGGACTCAACACAGTGCCCATATGGAATGTTGGTGCCACAGACAGAAACAACCTCCTATACCAAGGTGCCAGACCCCTTCAACCATGTTTTGTTTTTTTAACCACATTTAAAAAGAAAAGTTTCATACACAATATCCGAGGTGCATCAAGGCATTTAAACCCATTCCTAAATACAGTACTGTAATTATATACAGAATCAAAGACTAAACATACAATCCTCTAATACTGCCCGTAACAACCACAACCACTTTTAAAAGTAAAATTATTATAAAGTAAATAAACCCACATTCTTACCGTTACTGCCAACAAAATCATCATGCAAAATAGGGAGATCAAGTCGAATTCGTTTTAGACAGGTCTGAAAAATTTCAAAAAAAATGTATTTTGACATTTTCAACAATAATTTTACAGTGGGGAATGGTCATTTAAGCAAATCTTAGTTTTACAAGTACTGCTAAAAAAAAAAAAATAATAACAAAACTGCTCCTCAGATAACCACTATTAATTTTGCCTACCAATACACATTTCAAATTGAAGATCCCAAAAAGCAATTCAGGTCCAACTCCATCTATCCCTGTGTTTTATGAATGATATTCATAATCACCTCAACACTTACCTGAACCTCCTTTTTATTTCCCAGATATTCAACTCTGTCAATAAAATCTTCAAATTGCAGCCTGGGGAACAGTCTGTGCGCCCAGTGCTCCATGTGTCTGATGAGCGTCTTCAAGTCCTCAGCCTGGCACATAAAAAGAAAAATGCTAAACGGAGGGCCCTGTCAGCAGATTGCAGAGCTGAAAAGCAACACCAAAGTCACCGGTGACATTTTACATTAGTAAGGTTGAGACACTTTCAGAAGGAAGCGCAGAAAGAAAAATCTTGACTTAGGGCTTAGAGAATGGCAATATAAACGAACACTGGATATAGACTTTTAAAAATCAGATTAAAATAAAACATCCCTGTACGAAAATGTAATAATGTTGAAGGAGAATCCCATATTAAATCTTTATACATAAAAAAATCTTTTCGAGCCTGGCGGCATGGCCTAGCAGCTAAAGTCCTCGCCTTGAACGCCGGGATCCCATATGGGCACCGGTTCTAATCCCGGCAGCTCCACTTCCCATCCAGCTCTCTGCTTGTGGCCTGGGAAAGAAGTCAAGGACGGCCCAAAGCCTTGGGACCCTGCACCTGTGTGGGAGACCTGGCGAGGTTCCTGGCTCCTGGCTTCGGATCAGCATAGCACCGGCCGTTGCGCTCACTTGGGGAGTGAATCATTGGATGGAAGATATTCCTCTCTGTCTCTCCTCCTGTCTGTATATCTGACTTTGTAATAAGAATAAAATAAATCTTTAAAAAAAAATGTTTTTCACATACTTACAGTAAAACTCCCAAATATGCTTCAATAAAATATCTCAAAATGATTGTGACAGGTTCCTGAACCACATGCAGAGAAGCAAGCATTCAGAACAGGAGAATATATGCAGAGAATGCAAGGGCAAAGACTAGTAAGAAAGTTAACAATCCCAGGTACTTCTGTATGTTTAAAACTGCAACTAAGCATTTTTTATATAGAAAAAAAAAAAGAAACCAAAGATTTTACTGAAGAGAAACACTAGCAGTGCCAGTTTTAACATAAAAGATCTTCTCTCTATTGCTTCTCGGTCTTTTGGCTAAGATCAAGTGAAGATCTTCTCTCCTTGGCAGCACGTTCCAGGAGAGAACGAAGGCCCAAGCTCTGGTGCAGAAGATTGCACGGCTGCAAACTCCCCTCCCGCCTCTGTGGGACTCCCCACTTCATTCTCAGTGCCCTGTTTTCCTATCTGAAAACATTACACAAATGTTAGACCTACTGTTGCATTTTGTTATTTGTTATTTGTTGGACTCTTTACTGAGACTAACCTTTGATTACAGTGTAAATGAAGGAACATATTCCTCTCTGGAAATCTGATCTGCCTTCCAATAAAAATAAATAAACTTCAAAAATAAATAAGCCTCAATCTGCAATGCCAGCATCCCATATGGGTGTCAGTTCAGAACGGGCCACTCCACTTCTGATCTAGTTCCCTACTAATGTACCGGGGAAAGCAGCAGAACATGGTCTAACATCTTGGACTCTGCATCCCCATGGGAGATCCAGAAGCCCCTGGCTCCTAGTTTCAGCTGGCCGGGCAGAGACATTGCATCATCCAAGGAGTGAAACAGAAGATGAAAGGCCTCTTTCACTTTCCTTGCTCTCTATAACTCCATTTTTCAAACAGCAACTAAGTCTTCAAATAAATGAAATCTTCACTAAAAAAAACACTTTTCCACTGCATCACCACTGTTTCTCAAGAGATATAAGTAATCATACTATCTGTAAAGTATTCTGGGATTCCCAAGAACATAATGAATCAAAGTTTGATCGCTATTTTCACAATTAATTCCTTTATATCTTTGAGGGGACAAGAAAAACACAGACACACAAATAGCTCTCGCACCCACTGGCTCACTCCCTGAATGCTGACTATGACAGAGGTGGGGACAGGGCCAGGAACTCAATCTAGGTCCCCTTTGGGTCACTGTCTCCAAGATGCAGGTTAGCAGAATTGAGAACAGGCCTAGAACAGGAACTCAGTTATTCTAACATGAGCTGCAAGTGTCCCTACCGCAGCCTTAACTATAAATTTAAACATCCATCACGATTTTTGGGCGTTTTTTGTTTTTTGTTTTTTAAGCTTTACTTACTTTAGGCCTGACATGATAGCCTAACAGAGAAATACTTGCCTTTCATCCACCAGGATCTAAAATGGGCACCAGTTTGTATCCCAGCTACTCCACTTCCCTTCCAGCTCCCTGCTGGTGGCCCGAGAAAGCAGTCGAGGATAGCACAAGACCTTGGACCTTGTACCCATGTGGAAGACCAGGAAGAAATCCCTGGCTCCTGGCTTCGCATCGGCACACCTCCAGCCATGACGGATACCTGGGGAATGAATCAGTGGATGGAAGATCTTCCTCTCTGCGTCTCCTCTCTGTATATCTAACTTTCCAATAAAAATAGATCTTTTTTTTTTTAAAGATTTATTTATTTATTGGAAAGTCAGATATACAGACAGGAGGAGAGACAGAGAGGAATATCTTCCATCCGATGATTCACTCCACAAGTGAGTGCAACGGCCGGTGCTATGCCGATCCAGAACCAGGATCCAGCAGCTTCTTCTGGGTCTCCCACACAGGTGCAGGGTCTCAAAGCTTTGGGCCATCCTTGACTGCCCTCCCAGGCCACAAGCAGAGAGCTGGATGGGATGTGGAGCTGCCGAGATTAGAACCGGTGCCCATATGGGATCCTGGCATTCAAGGCGAGGACTTTAGCTGCTAGGCCACGCCATCGGGCCCAAAAATAGATCTTTAAAAAAGATTTACTTACTTTTATTGGAAAGGCAGATCAGCTTTATGTAATAAAGGAAAGACAGAAAGATCTTCTTACATTGGCTCACTCCCCAAATGGCCACAATGGCTGGAGCTGAGTCGATCAGGAGCCAGAAGCCAGAAGAGTCTTTCACATCTGCCACACAGGTGCAGAGTCCCAAGGCTTTGAACCATCCTCCACTGCTTTCCCAGGCCACAAGCAGGGAGCTGATGGGAAGCAGGGCAGCTGGGACATGAACCAGTACCTATATGAGATCCCAGTAGTTTGAAGGTAAGAATGTAGCCATATAACCATTGTGCCAGGCCCCACTTTTGCTATTTTTTAAAAATGTAAGTTTAAAATGAAAACCAGGAACTGATGCAGTGGTATCTCATGCGTGTAGCACGTTAATCCTCACCTGCAAGGGCAGCATCTCATATGGGTGCCAGTTCCAATCTAGCTCCTGCCATGGTGTAGGAAAGCAACCATGCATGGTTGAAGTCCTTGGGCCTCCACACCCACAAGAGAGACCAACAAGCTGATGGCTCCTGGCTTCACATCAGCTACTGTGACCACTTGGAAGAGGATCAGCAGATAAAAATTTGTCTCTCAGTAAATCTGCCTTTCCATAAAAAAAATAAAGAACATAAACCCAAGAATTTCTCACCTCATGACCTTTACCCTTGAATTTTGTCTTATCAAACACATGCCTTAAGGCTGGAAGTCCTCTCTCAGAAATTAACCTGTAGGTAAAAACATATTTTGAATATATCAATTCCAACGTCATGTCCAAACCAAGACTAGAAAGAAGAAAAAACATCATTTCTACCGAGTTGGAAAAACAAAAACTTCTAGCAATCTCTGACTTCTAAATTATTCTAACTAAAAGTTCTACCATTAAAAGAAAAACTAGGGCCTAGCAGAGTAGACTAGTGACTAAGGTCCTCGCCTTGCACATGCTGGGATCCCATATGGGCACTGGTTCTAATCCTGGCCAGCCCCACTTCCCATCCAGCTCCCTGCTTGTGGCCTGGGAAAGCAGTCGAGGATGGCCCAAAGCCTTGGGACCCTGCACCCGTGTGGGAGACCCGGAAAAGTTTCTGGCTCCTGGCTTCAGATCAGCACCGCACCAGCCGTTGTGGTCACTTGGGATGTGAATTATCAGATGAAAGATCTTCCTGTCTCTCCTCCTCTCTGTATATCTGATTTCCAACAAAAATAAGTAAATCTTTAACAACAACAACAAAAAAGATGGGCATTAAGAAAAAATACAAAATGTACAAGAAAATCGTGACTGTACCTCTGAGCGTCCAGCTTGGGCAAGTTCCTTTTAACTGTTCTCTTTGGAGGCACAGGAACACGTACTCCACTCCCTGACTCTAATGAAATACACTAAGATTTAGTATTACATAATTGAAGCCTCACAAATTGCAACACAGCTAAGCTGGTGAGGGTATAACAAGACTTGCAACACTGCTCTGCCGCTCCATACAGACCTTCCTCACGCTCCGCCTCTTCATCTCGTCTCTCTGGAGAGGCCGGAGGGGGGAAAGCAGGGAACATTTCATCTTCTGTATGTTCATAATCTGGTAGGTCAACCAGGCCATCCTCCTGCGGTTCTAGCATCTCTTCCCCTGCAGTGGAAAAATGTCACTTTTTAAAAAATTCATTTAAATGTATAAAATTGTATTCATCTATATAGTCTCCATCTTATATAAGTCAACTTTCATCTGCAGCAAATTCTTCTTTCAAACAGTCACAAATCACACACCACAAAAAGAAGATCACAATTCAGGGAGCTCTGGTGTGGTAGCCTAGTGGATAAAGTCCTCACCTTCCATGTGCTGGGATCCCATATAGGTACCAGTTCATATCCTAGCTGCCCCACTTCCCTTCCAACTCCCCCTGCTTATGGCAAGGAAAAGCAGTAAAGGATGGCCCAAAGCCTTAGGACCCTACACCCACTTGGGAGACCCAGAAGCAGCTCCTGGCTCCAGGCTTTGGATCAGCACACCTCTGGCCATTGTGGCCACTTCTGTCTCTCCTCCTCTTTGTAAATGTGACGTTTCAATAAAACAAGTAAATCTTCAAAATTTAAGGGCTGGCCCTGCAGCACAGAAGGTAAAGCAGTCACCTGGAGTACTGACATACCACATTGATGAACAAGGGTTTGAATCCCCCATGTTCTACCTCCTACCCTACTCCCTGCCAATATGCCTGGGAAAGTTGCAGAACACAGTCCCAAACCCTGGGTCCCAGTGCCCACGAGGGAGACCAAGAAGCACCAGGTTCCTGGCTCTGAATGGGTTTAGCTCCAGCCACTGCAGCCATTCGGAAAGTAAACCAGCAGATGCAAGACCTCTCTCCCTCTCTCTGTAACTTTTTCAAATAAGTAAATCTTTTTTTTTTTTAAGATTTTTTTTAATTACAAAGTCAGATACACAGAGGAGGAGAAAGAGAGAGAAAGTTCTTCTATCCGATGATTCACTCCCCAAGTGAGTGCAATGGCCGGTATTACGCCAATCCGGAGCCAGGAGCCACAAACTTCCTCCACGTCTCCCACACGGGCACAGGGTCCCAAGGCTTTGGGCCGTCCTCGACTGCTTTCCCAGGCCACAAGCAGAGAGCTGGATGGGAAGTGGAGGTGCCAGGATTAGAACCGGCGCCCATATGGGATCCCGGTGTGTTCAGGGTAAGGACTGTAGCCGCTAGGCCACGGCGCCGGGCCCAATTACATCATGTTTGACATCTTTTAATTTATTATTGTATTGGAAAGGCAGATTTGCAGAAAAGAGCCAAAAATGGGTCAAATGGCTAATCCTCCATCTACAAGCAGCAGCAGCCCATATGGGTGCCAGTTTCTGTCCCAACTACTCCATGCTTGTGCCCTATGACAGCAATAGAGAATGGCCCAGGTCTTTGAGCCTCTGCACCCATATGTGAGACCTGTAAAAAGCTCCTGGCACCTGGCTTCACATCGGCTCAGCTCTGGCCGCTGTGGTCACTTGGGGAGTTAACCATCCATCGGACTTTCCAATAAAAATAAACAAATGTTTGAAAAAAAAAAAAAAACCAACTTCTGGCCATGGGCAGGGCTGGGGGGCCTCAACGTGGCACTCTATGTTTATGTTCTCAGTCCTGTGGCCCTGACATCCCATATGGGGGATGCCGTTCCACCTCCCATCCAGCTCCCTGCTTGTGACCTGGGAAAGCAGTAGAGGGTGGCCCAAAGCCTTGGGACCCTGCACCTGCGTGGGAGACCTGGAAGAGGTTCCTGTCTCCTGACTTCAGACAAGGGCAGCTCTGGCTGTTGTGGCCATGCAGCAAGTGAACCAGCGCACGGAAGATTTTTCTGCCTCTTCATCTTTGTAAAATCCCCAATGAAAAATGAGTGACCCAACTAGAAAGGCAGCTAGGCCTCCCTTCATCTAACCGGCTTTCTCGCCGGGAGGAGTCGGTTTAGCTCCATGCTGATGAAACCCCGTTGGGGGAAGTGGGATTCATACTTCTTCAAAGCCCGACAAGCACCTCAGAAGTCGAGGACAAGTACGGACATATTAGATATTGGGTTATCAGTAAGGTGAGTTTTCTTAATACATGGACAACAAACTCCCAAGCAAGAGACGGTCACAGCTGTAATGTCCCACACACAATTCGCTCCCAGTGTCCTCCACCTCCCGAGGCTGAGTGGACATCCCCACCCCCTTCCCCGGATGGTACCCCTAAAAATCCCCCGCCAACTCCCAGCGCGCTTCGCAAGGCTTGGAGAATCCCAGGCAGAATTCGGGGTCGCGGGACCGTCAGGAACGCGGGGCCTCCCGGGGAAAGGCTCGTGGGGAGCAGCAGAGCGAGGCGTGTGCCCTACAGGGCGACGCGGGCCCGGCCTCCCCGCCCATCCAGTCCCGCTCGAGCCAGGTGTCCGCCTCATCCCTCGGTGCGCTCCCCCGCGGCTCCGCAGGCCTGGCCCTGGCCGCCCAGCCGCTCCGCTCCTCCACCTCAGGGCCCTGGCCCGCCGCCTCAGGCCCCTCGCCCGCCGGCCCCGCCGCCTCAGGCCCCTCGCCCGCCGGCCCCGCCGCCTCAGGCCCCTCGCCCGCCGGCCCCGCCGCCCGGCGTCTACACCGCCGGCCCCGCCGCCTCAGGCCCCTCACCCGCCCACCACTCCGCGCTCTCACCTCCCAAACAGCCACAAACCCACCGCGGAGATCTGGATACAGGGCGCTGTGCTCCTCGCGAGATCCCAGACCGCGGCCGCGAGAAGAGAACTAGCGGTTTGGCGCCAAATCTGCGCGTGCTCTGGGCGGGGTCTGGCAGGCCCGCCCACACATGTCCGGCTTTGTATTTCCGGCATCCCTCCGTGCCCTTCCGAAGGCGCATGCGCGACGTCCGCCCCCATCGCTGAGTGCAGTGGGCCATTTGTGGCAAGTTATTAAGCTCTAGGACTGAATTGCGGTTTTTAGAAAACTGAGTAGCAAGCGGAATAGAAAGGTTAAAAGGCCCAGTACTGGATGAGAAACTGCCACTTTTGGAGAGTGAATAGGAATCATTGAACATAAAAGTTTCAGTATGTTTTGAAACTGTTAAAGAGTCTGGGCTAAAGCCCCCGGAAGTCAGGGTGCGAGCTAGTCAATCCCCAGAGAACGACAAAGAGTCTTGCTGGTAATGCAAACAGCAAACAGAGTTTATTGCACCAGCATGCTGGGCCAGACCGCACTTGGGGCACACAGGCCAGCCAAGCCGCAGACTGACCCTGAAGGAGCCCAAGACAGAAGATTATATAGGCCCTTTTGGGCTGAGAAATACATCAGAATACATCAAAAGTAACAACCTTAGACACAGGCAGCCTGATCCGTTCCCATACCCATTATCTTTATGGCTCAGCCCATTCTCACACCCTTATCTTCCGCCTGTTCCTGAGACCAGAGAAGAATTGTGCCCTCACCCCCCTGCACCTGGGTTAGATCACAAGGTCGCAGGGCAGCAAGGAACAGATTTATCACTAAAGTGGAATCCTCCCAAAGTCCAGACACCTCCTGGTCTAGTAGAGTAGCAGTAATCTCAGCACAAAGGAATCTCACACTGCCCAACAATAACATTTTTCCCACACTCTTAACAAAACACAAGAGAAATAAGGATTTGGGAGGTAGGAGTGCAGACGTGAAAATCCCCAGAATATGTGTCATCTTTTCTGTTTCAGAAACAGTGAGTCCTGACATGCCTTCCATCGGCTAGAATATTGTTCGGATATAGAAATATATTAGCTTGCAACAAAGGAATCTCAACTGAACTTGAACTGTGGTTATGCAGCAAGGTGGAGGAATCCACCATGGATGGAGGGTTGTGGGAGGGGTGGGGGGAATCCCAGTACCTATAAAACTGTTTCACATAATACAATGTTACTAACAATAAATTTAAAAAAAAAAAGTATATTAGCCGTGAAGCTAAATTTAAGAGCATCACCTGAAACTAAAATAATAAGAGTGGACAAATCTAGAAGATAATTGGGAGACATTGGCAAAATTATTCTCTACTTTGCTGTGTCTTTATTAAAACCTAACAGCAAGGTAACGACAGTGCACGATGATGTATTGTGTCCTGGATAAATGAATGTCCTGGATAAAAGAAGCAGGTGAGCTCCAAATATAAAGAGAAGCAAACCGGTGGACTAGTCACCTGGTTAGATTGGCTTATGTTGCTCATATGTACCAAATTGCTACACTGTTCCCCAGGGGGAAGAAAAGTGTATTACATATTAATAAAAAAATTTTAATATTTATTTGCTTCATTGGAAAGGCAGATGTACAGAGAGGAAGATCTTCCATCCAATGGTTCACTCCCCAAGTGGCTGCAATGGCTGGTGCTTAGCCAATCCGAAGCCAGGAGCCAGGAACCTCTTTCTGGGTCTCCCACACAGGTGCAGGGTCCCAAGGCCCTGGGCCGTCCTCGACTGCTTTCCCAGGCCATAAGCAGGGAGCTAGATGGGAAGAGAGCCACCAGGACTAGAACCAGCACCCATATGGGAACACAGCATGTTCAAGGCGAGGACCTTAACCATTATGCTACTGCGCTGTGCCCCATATATTAATAAATTTTTTAAATTAAGGTACTAATATTGGGCACAGAGCGAGCAATGGCTCAACAGCCTAATCCTCCACCTACAAGCACCATAATCCTATATGGGCACCAGTTCGTGTCCCAGCTGCTCCACTTCCCATCCAGCTCCCTGCTAAAGGCCTAGAAAAGCAGTGGAAGATGGTCCAAAGCCTTGGAACCTTGCGCCCGTGTGAGACCCTGGGAGACTCCTGGCTCCAAATTTTGAATCAGGTCAGCTCTAAGCCATTGAGTCCATTTGGGAACTCCATTTGTCTCTCCTTCTCTCTGGAAATCTGTCTTTCCAGTCAAAATCAATTAACCTTTTAAAAAGTGGAGTGGAGTGTGTGTGTGTTGGAGGCTTTCAGCTGGGGATTATGCAAAGGCCTAGAATACAAACAGAAGTCTCTCATGGAGTAGGCATACTTAAACACTGACCACTTCCACTGCAGCTGGAAGCTGAGAGCATTTCCCCCAAGACTTCTGCCAGTTCACACCTTCTCAATCTCACCTCTGTTCTGAATGAATCACTCATCTGGTGTTCCTGGGGGCAGGTTACATTGTAGCTGACAAAGTCTTCACCTGCACACAAGCTGCCCTGCTTTTCTCTCTCCTTTCCATCTGGTCTTTTATGCAGATAGCTTTCCCAGGCTTGGAGCCAACTGACACAGGAGTCAGAGTTGGTGTAGGCGGAGTCTCACCAATTTGAAGTACGTATTACGGGGCCTGGCGCCATAGTGCAGTGGTTAAAGTCCTCACCTTGCATGTGCCCACAGGGATCCCATATAGTTGGGATCCCAGCAGCCCCACTTCCCATCCAGCTCCCTGCTTGTGGCGTGGGAAAGCAGTCTCGAGGATGGCCCAAAGCCTTGGGACCCAGCACCTGCGTGAGAGACCTAGCAGAGCTCCTGGATCCCAGCTTTGGATTGGCTCAGCTCCAGCCATTGTGCTCGCTTGGGGAGTGAACCATAGGACGGAATATCTTCCTCTCTGCCTCTTTTCCTCTGTATATCTGCCTTCCCAATAAAAGTAAAATAAAACAAAATAAAGAAATTTTTTAAAATGAAGAACCTATTACAACACAATATTCCTTCAGGCAAGCACACTCCTTTCTCCCATGTGTTAGGCTTCCCAGAGGAGGGCTTTGAGCCAGGGCTTAAGACCAAGTCAAGACACTCACATCCCACATTCAGAGTCCCTGTGTTTGTCTATGACTATAGCTTCCTTGTAATGCACCTGCCCAGAGGCAGCAGGTAATGGGTTCCTGCCACCTGTGTGAGAAACCTGGATTGAGTTCCTAGTCTAAGACTTTGGTCCTGGCCAAGCCCTGGCCATTGTGACATTAGGGCAGTAAATTACTACATGAGATCTCTCTCTCTCTCTCTCTCTTTCTGTGTGTGTGTGTGTGTGTGTGTGCGTGCGCGCACGCATTAGCGGTAGGGAAAATTAAAGAATTTTAATTGCAAATAAAACTGGATGGAAATGCAGAGTGATAAGAAAGTATTCCAAAAGTGAGATAGATTGTGGGTCGCTCCAACTAGGCTGCAGCTCCCACTGGTTTATGTGGGGGCCGAGTGTATGCTGGGCAGAACCAGGCTGGACTGCAACACCTATTGGTTCGAGTGGAAGACAGGGCTGGAAACAGAACTGACCCAGCAGTTGCACCCACCAGCTCATTGGGGGCAACGGACTGTGCCAAGCCCTGTATTGGCAAGTACACACAAGAATCTCGTCTGGGATCAGGATTCCCCCAATCGAACTGCTGGGCTCAGAACCCCAACCATGAAGAGAAGTGCAGGTTCCATGGTCTGACCATGGAGTTCAAGTATCAAAGCTGAGCTTCCTCAGAGGCTCAGATGGAGCAGTGGACAGCACATCTAGGTGCACATGGAGGATATGGCAGTCCATTGGAACCTACAGAGGACACCTGGTACCACAACAGAGGACAGAACAACTCAGTCAACGACCCCAGCCATATGCTGGAAGTGAAAATCTGGGCAAACAGAGACTCTAAGCTGGACTATGTTAACAGTCGATTCTGCAGCGATTTCATCGTGCTTAGAATGGCAAGACTGACAGCAATTCATAACTGTTGAATTATCAAAACCACTTGAGCAGGACCCTTGGAGCATGCCCCACATCGGGGACCTGGGATGGGTGTGAAGCTGGGTGGGGCTTCTCCCTTTATCTCCTCCTTTACCCCAGATACAGAAAAAAATAATAATAACAATGTGGAAACAATAGTCTGACCCACTTTCCTGTAACCCTTAACCTTTTGTGCCCCAATCGGCTATGTAAAGATTGTCAAAAATAAAGAAAAAAAAAGTGAGATAGAATGGAATTAGAGATTCAATTATAGAGAGAAGCCAGAACAATTTGACCTTTTTAAAAAAAGATTTATTTTATTTTAAATGAAAGGCATGGTGACAGAGAGGAGAGACAGAGAAGTAAGTCCTCGACCCACTTGTTCACTCCTCAGATATCCACAGTGGCTGGAGCTGGGCCGAGCTAAAGCCAGGAACTTCCTTGGAAACTCTCACGTAGGTACAGAGGCCCAAGAACTTCAGCCATTCTCTTTTGCTTTCCCAGGCCATCAACAGGGAGCCGCACCGGAAGCTTCACCTACTATGTCACGTAGCTGGCCCAAATGGTAAGATATTTTAAAATTCTGAAAAATCAGAAACTGTAGGTACTTTTTCACTCAAAACTTTGAAGTGTGTGCTGGTGAGATATGTGTTCTCACCACGTGAGGGAGCTAGAGAGCTGTTCCCAGGGCCTTTCTGTAAGCAAGAGGCGTATTTTAAAGACCAGAATCTGAGGGATATTATTCAACTCACAGAAGAAAACCTCCCTGACTGCGTTTGGATGGTGTTATATTCTGGAAAGGACAAAGAAAGCACAAACTACAAAAGAAAAATATCAATTGGATTGTATCAAAAGTAGATTGCATCAAAATTGAGACTTTCTCTTAAATAAACAAAAAGGCACCCTGGCTGTAGGCATTTGCCTAGGTTGCATTGTACCTAGGTCAGTGTTACACTGCTGGGATAAAAGCAGCCAATAGCTGGCAGGCATGCTGGACTGGGCTAATTCCAAACTTGCGTTAACTATGCCAGTATGCCAACATAGTTGCCTTTTCTTTCTTCCTT